CCCCCACACACACACACATCTAAGCTCCCTGTGTCAGCTAGAATGTCATATAATACTGCAATACTATGTCATCAATGTGTCAATAACAAAGCTCCCTCATATCTTAGTGATCTCATCCAGATTTATGTTCCATCTAGATCACTAAGATCAGTCGATCAGTATCTTGATATCAGTAAATTCAATTTCAGTACAATGTTATGTAAATGACTATGTATCAATTTATGTATTTTGCGAATTGTATTGAGTATACATGTATTATTTTTTAATTTTATTATGTCTTTGTTTGCGCTCATTTCGTAACGATGTGTAAGCGTGCGCGTGTGATGAACAAGTGTGTGTCTGTGTGTGTCTGTGTTTGTGTGTGTGGCATGCATGTGTGTGCCCATGTGTGTGTGTGTGAGTGTGTGTGTGTGTGTGTGTGTGTGTGTGTGGCATGCATGTGTGTGCACATATGTGTGTGAGTGTGTTTGTTTGTGTATGTCTGTGTGTGTGTGCTTGCGTGAATATTGTTCGTACATGCATTTATGTAAAGTACCTATGACTGTTCACACGGGAGTGGGTGCTATAGAAAGGATCTACATTATTATTATTATAACAATACCATAATTTCCTTCTTTCACACAAATGCAAGTGGAAACTTGACTTTTGGCACATACAAAAATAATATGTGAATGGTAATGATCATTCAAGCAGTTCAGGGCACCCTTGGTTCTTTCCCTGTATATTTTTGCACCATTACACTTTTAAAACCTTGGTTGTATTGTTATCAGTTTAAAAAATGCTTTCATTATTCTCACTTTTCACATGCAAACATTGGATACAGCAAATTTGATAGTAGGGCCTGACGACTCTGTTACATGCAGCAAGTTTCTCTGTATCACACCATAACTAAGTTTTGAGAATGTGTCTAGCTAGAGGTCTCATCCGCAATAGCGAACATTTTGAATTTTGTCATACAAAGCACACTTAATTAAAGAGGTGCATGATTTGAGTTTGAGAAGAAAGAGCTATTGTGTACTCTGCTGTGTACTGTACTTGAGAATTGTTTGGTTTGTTTTTGTCTTGTCTCAGGAAGGCTCCACTGGTAGGTCTTTGTTCCATTCTGTAATATATCTGTCTAATTTCTTTCTGAACTCACAGCATTATGTGTGTATGACGGTAGTCATGTTCATGTCCTCATATGTAATCGACTCAAACATTTATCTCATTACATTCACTTTCCCCATCCAGCCCTTGATGCTTCTATGACTCTTTACCTCCCTAGGAAAGGACTTCAGTTTGCTCTTGAGTTTTATCCTCTCACCTTCATGAAATCATGTGTCATATTTATTTGTTACTAAAGGTTTTTTTTCTAAGAGTTAGTAGTCACTCTTTCCATTAGCATGTGTATGTCAAATTAGGAAGGGAAGAATATGGACTCAAACTCAACTACCCCTGCCCAATCAACTCCATCTATTTTTATTCCTCTTTCACAGATGTACAGACATTAACGATAAAGCTGTGGCAATGACCAAACAGACAGGAATCCTGAACCATCAAGCCATTGAGCCTGTGATGACTCACCTGGTAATTTGCAAAGAATTTTCATCTCCTTTTTTTTCTTTCTTGAATGTAGATGTTTTACACCCTCATCGACACAGCTTAGATCATTAATTAGGAGGCAGCCTTCAACTTTACCTGTCAGGGCCAACATGGGCTGAGTCTAAGAGGGATACAATGTCCCAGCAGAAAGACTGAAATACTCAATAAAAATTCTCCACCCACAGGGGAACCAGACTCTGGTTGTTTGCATGCTATGGCAGAGCACCTAACTGCTGCCCCACAAAAGTCACTGGTTTTTCATCTCTATTCATGTTACTGCGGATTTTGTTCACATTACGTTAGTCTGAAATTACTCCTTCCTTTATGTATCCGGATGTTGCAACTTAAAGAAAAGGCAGGGTATGGAAAGTACATTCGAGTGAAAAAACAAAACAGCACAGGGTATAATGTAAACCTTTTATAGAAAGCGATAAGTTTTTCAGAGGCTGTATTTCTTTTATAAGACAATCTTCAGGAAATGATTGTTTTAATTTGTTTGATACATGCTCACTGTTGCCTACCAAGTTTAGCAGTCACCGGCAGCCAGCTAGAAGGATAGTTTTATTAATACACTTTACAGTCTGCATTCTTCACATCTACGTAGGCGAAACCATTGCTTTATTTCTATCCATCATCATTGTATAGATTTAACGCTCCATTCAACACTGCAAGGTTGTTTAAATCTTTATCTCCAAGGGGGGTAAACCCACTACGCCGGGGCCCTTTTTTGGTGCTAAATCTAAAAATGACAAAAACGTCATTAAATGAGTCATTAAATCGAAACTATCATACCTATTTTGATAGTTCTTCATCTAATGAATGAACTTCCACTTCCAGTGTAAGAGACCTGTTTTTGGCAATTAATTAGATGTCGAAGTCGTCGTAAAGGAATGTACCCCTGGCGCTGTCAGCGGCTCATAGGCACATGGGTTGAGCGGCTTGCAGGAGATAAAGATAAAGAGTTAAAAGGCGGGACCTCCAAATTTATAGTCCATCTCAGATGGAACGGAGCCAAATGGGCGGAGAGTCATCAAACATTCCCTGAAAAAACCCAAGTTCAGTGCCCCCTATGAAGGATTCAAACCAAGCCCATCTGCTCCGTAGTCCAGCATGATACCAACTGAGCTAAAAGTTAGTCGTATTTTTCTCCAAAATGTTTCTGTCTTGTTTTGTAAGATCTGTTGTGATTAAAATTTTGAATTGAGCAACACCTAATAGTGTCTCTCTTTTGAGCAACACCTAATAGTGTGTCTCTTTTTAATGCCACATATCTGCACATGACTTGACAATGTTATGCTTCAGCTATTTAGTAGAATGACATGAGACCTTTGTGAAAGAGTTGCTTGGAGGAAGAATGTGGAGCCGGAGAGCCAGGGGTAGACAAAGAATGACAAGGAGGGACAACATCAAAACATGGACTGGCCTGGGTAGAGCAGAGTGTGCAACAGCAGCTTGCGACCATCAAGGATTGGGGGGTCATTACACATCAAACTCTTGAGTCAGAGATGACACTTCCAGGTATTCAAGGTACACTTTTGGTCAGCAAAAGAATGCTTGATACATAATGGCGGGTTTATCTCTATTGCAGACTGATGTGCTGAGCTCACGGCTATCAGGGAAGGTTGACGTCCTGCTGTTTAACCCTCCCTATGTAGTCACTCCATCAGAAGAGGTATGTGAATGAACCAATAATATTTGTACATATGTCCAATGGTTAGGATTTTCGACTCTTAACTGAAATATCTAGGGTTCAAACTTCATCAGGGGTCTGACGTTGTGTCCTTGAAAAGAGACTTTTGCATGAATGTTATTCACCTTACCTAAGTGGGAATGGGTACCGGGTTGTAGACAGTCAAAGATTGTGCTATTGAAGCTAGAGAGGTGAGCAGTTTAAGTCTGATTCCCTGTAAAGACCTCTTTGTTGACACCCACCCCTTGGCGCTCATATGACCTTATGCAGTTGCGAGTGCCGTAAAACCCTCTACTATTAAAAAAAAAAAAAGATCTTGTCAGTTTTTAGAGTTTGAGCCCTTATCAGACGCTTGTACTGTGTGCCTTCTTTAAAGCCGAGAATGTTTCTGAGTCTTCTTGGGTTTTCTGAAGTAATGATATAGACTGTAAAGGGCATAGAGCTTGCTGTTGGGCAGAGCTACACCCATTCGACTTCTCTATTCAACATTCACATTTTTTACGCTATTCACAGCTATTTGAGGAGTGTCAGAGTCATTAGAATGCAGTGTGATTTTTGTTTGTTTGTTTGTTACAGATGATGGATTTTAGTCTTTTTCCTCAAACCGTAGTAAAATTTAGAGCATTTTATATCTGAAATCATGGACATATATTCAGAAATACTCTGTACTTAATGGTTACGAGACAGAGTGATAAGTGGAGCTGACAAGAGTTGTACAGCATGCCTCTAAAGAGTATTCATTACTATTCAATATTCACAAGTCGCACCTTGATTAGCTTTAGCAAGGGCTCTTGACTCTCGAAGGGCAGCGAATGCTTTTCCATGAAATTAACAGTAAGCTGTCAGAATGAGCTCCTTTTCCCCATATTCAAAATTCGAAGCGGTATGAATGGTATTAGTATACACTGCATGCAAGAAAACAGGCGCATGCTGTAACTAGCGCTGTGAATAAGGAATGGACTTATCATATTAGGAAAAACACTTGCACACGTTATTCAAGTAGCTCACCGCGCTTCGAAGGATTGATGAAGTTTTTTTCCCTCAATATCACACGGCACTATTGATGAGTAGGGAGTACACTATACAATTGTTATTTATTTACTATTGTTTATTATCATTATTACCATATTATTACTATTATTGTTATAATTATATGCTCATTGTTACAGAGTGGTGTTGGTAATCAAAGGGTTAAGCTACCGAACTTGTATCGTGAGATTGCAGGCTCTGAGTTGTGGTGACAGTTCTATACTGGACTTTTGCTTAACTCTTTATCTCCGAGGAGGGTAAACCCATTACGTCAGGGTCCTTTTTTTGGTACTAAATCTAAAAATGACGAAAACTTCACTAAATGGGCAATTAAATCGAAACTAGTGAACCTATTATGATAGTACCTCATCTAGTGAATGAACTTCCGATAAAATAGACCTCTTTTGGTGTCGAAAAGTAATTTGATGTCGAAATCGTCGCAAAGGAATATGCCCGAGCCGCTCTCAGTGGATCACCAGCACAGCAGTTACGACCGGGAGCGGCTTGCCAGAGATAAAGAGTTAATGAAATACCATCACACATATATTGTTTCTATTTAGTTTATCTGATAGATAAATATAGAAAATTTTTTCTCCAGGTTGGTTCCAAAGGCATTGAGGCTTCTTGGGCAGGAGGAGATCGAGGCAGAGAAGTGCTGGACCAATTCCTCCCTAGAGTGAGAGATCTGCTCTCTCCAGATGGTGTTTTTTTTCTGGTGGTCATCGAGGAGAATGACCCAGGTTGGTTCTTCTGTTCCTGGCTCTTGTCTTTTTTTTCTTGTTTTTCAAGTTCTTGTTCTTCCTCTTTACGTTTTTTCTGTTCTTCTTCTTGTGCTCCTCCTCCTATTTTGCTTCCGATTACTTTACTTTTACTGTTTCCCTCTTTGTTGCCGTTAAGCGTCGCGGGGGAGATGCAGTTTTCTATGGTAGGCCAGCTCCGCAGCTCTTTCAGTTGTGATATTATGTTTTCTCAAGGTTTCTTTGACACCCTCAATCCACCTTTTGCATAACCTTCCTCTTCCTTCATAGCCTGAGTGCTTGGTGTTGCAGGCTCTTTTGCTTCCGTTATCTGGCAATATTGAATGCGGAAAGGGACAAAATGAGTAAAAAAATATATATATATATTTCCCCAAACTTGAAGTGCCTGTTGAAATTTGTATGGACAGTGATGAAGAGGTTTATGTTGGGGACAATGACCCTGGTTATTTGGATCGGCAGGCTTCAGGTTGAGAAGAAAGTCATGTAGAACTTGAACCAGTTAGGCCCATGGTTGATCAAAGAGCAATTTAGTCTGTAAGTAGATCTAGATCTAATCTTTTATCTCCAAAAGTTGGGAACTGAGTCTGAGCAAAAGCTTACTATATTACATAATCGAAATGATGCGAACCATATCATTTTTTCAGGGATTATATAATATGTTATGGCATAGAGAAACACATGTTAGATAGTTTAGTGAAGTTTCTTGTCTATAGCTTTACTAGGGTCTATGTTATTCATATTTGAGCTTGAGCAGAAAGATGGGTCGCCACTCCGGTCCCAGGAAACTAAAAGTCAAGTTTATACATGGCCAGTCCCATAGGTGGTAAACCGAAATTTGTGGGACCACCAGATTTTCTTCAGGTTGGTCGTATTTTCGGAGTAGGGAGATTGTTCAAACAGTGTGCGCACACACTTACACAAACACGCACACACACACAGACACACACACACGCACACACACACACACACACACACACACACACACATCAACACACCTATTGCAAATAGTATTCAGGAAAAAGGATCAAAATTTTCTCCACTGCTGAACACTACACTCTCTGCTGTCTGGCATGAAGACTTTAGTAACCTTGTTGACTATATAGATCGAATAAAGTAAAATATTTGCAAACTGTAAAGCTTTCTTGATTTTGAAACTTTTCTATTTTACAGAAGACATCAAGCATAGAATGCTTCGGGAAGGTTTCTGTGGCGAAGAAGTTGTAAAAAGGAGAGCGGGTCGAGAGCTGCTGTCAATCCTCAAATTTACACGCTTGAAGAATTCCTGAGGATGATGGGTGACTGATGGGAAGTGCAAATGGTATTTGTTTGCTGTTCATGCAAGACTGAGACTGGAATCTCCTCCACTTTTCACGCTCTTGTTGAGGATGCCGCGTGAGGCTTGGTCACTCCTGCATGTAAATGCAACATATCCTACTGGGTCTGAACAGGCTACATAAGGATACCTCCCTATAATGTTTTGTTGTTTTATAGGTCCAGTTTATAACACAGCAGACAAGATGACGAAGAGTATAGAAACAATAGTGAAGGCATTGATGGTGAAACTCAGACTGCTCGTTTTCTTTATTTTTCTTCAATTGCCAAAACCAATGACCAGCATTGTTTACATGCTACTATGCCAGGTTGGCATAGGTAGGCTAAATGGACATTACATCCCTCTCCAACTTATATAGAAAGTTCCTTACTTTATATAGTTACAAGAATAGGGAGGGATTATATATGTATTTACTGTTAATTATTTTATATGTATGTTATCAGTGATTTAAAGAATAAAATTTATCTTTATTATGT